GTGGTTATTTATTATAATTGATATTTATGTTTTTTTCCGCTGAGCAGGCAAATGGGTCACCCAGGAAGAGGCATACAAGTGGGCGGAAACCTCAAAAACTAATGTTGCCCAATCGTCGACCTCACAACCAAAACCGGCTGGTGGAAGCGGGCCTGTCGCCGGTATTAAAGGAGGGCCAGCCCCAGGTGTGGTCGTAACGAAACCACTGAACCCGATGAGAGCTGTGAAGGGTGCTCCTTCAGCTCTTGCCGCTAACAAGAGAAAAAGAGAGGACACCAAGAAGCCCAAGGTGGTTACCAAGGAGGAGGAGGCGGCACTCAGAGCGCGGGAAGCAGCTCGGAAAAGAGTGGAGGACAGGGAGAAGCCTCTCATGGGATTGTACAAGACGTACTGAGTTGTCAATGCTCCCAAGCTCAAGGTGCGCGCCCAGTTGCGCTAAAACCGTGGAAATGCTGATGGATGGAATTGCTCTGAAAGAAAAAGCGGGGAGACCAGCGCCGAGTCCCGAGCTCTTGAGCGTCAGTGACACATACATGTATGCATTGTACAATACCTTGTCAAGAGTTCCTAAATCAGCCAGGTTCCCGTTGTGTGAAACATGTAAATGATCAGCTCGTCGATTATCATCTCTCGTGTTGTGTTCTCCCAATGGATTGCATGATATAATGCCGACAACTGCGGCCAATGCGATTGCTGCTGGAGATAGATTGTACTGTCATCTCTACAATCATCATCAGTTAATTTAGGTTGCGAGTATTTTGTTTCCTGTCCCTCTTTTGTGATGAGATCCTGACGTACAAGTGGCCTGGCTGCGGCCTGCGGAGAACCCAGCAGGCGGCCCCGTGCCAGCTAGAGTGAACGTGTGTGTGTGGAAAGAGCAAACCTTGGGTGCCCTCGTTCGTTCTTGCTGGTCCAATCTACTTTTGGGTGACCAGCCAGGCACGTTCACTGGTTGGTTTCGCCTGCGCCAAGATGCGGCAACGGCCACCGTACGTGACTGTGTCAGCCAAACTGAATGAGTCAACCGGCTGCACCGCCGCTCCCGACCCACTTGCCCACGTCTTGAAAGCCCGGAGCAGGCTGCTGGTCAACCACACCACACATCGCCATGCATGTTAGTACTAGTGATGTTTATGGCACGGATGGGGATTATCTCGGTTAGGTGCGGGTCGGACGAAATCATCCGAGATGACGAGTTTTGTTTGTTTTCCTTCCACGAAACAATCACATCGGATCGGGTAAGAGAGATGCTCCCGCCTTGAAAGATCGTCCTGCTGCTTCCCTCGAATCGAACGTGACCGAATTCTAACGAAGGAGATCAGACCATCAGTCTACCCTCCCGTCAATTAAGAAACGATTTCTTTCTGTCTTTCTTTGAGAAGAAGAAGAAGAAGATGCTTGGCACGTCCGGGAAGGGGTCGCACGCACGCACATCTGTCAGATTATTCCTTCTCTGACAGAGATCTTTCCGTTATTCTGGATGGGAAGAGAGAATAGTTTTTGCTGAGAAAGAAGCACGTTTGTTGGCACCCGCGCGTGTAACCTGTGGCTGTGGCGTGCGTGCCGTCACGTCGACTTTGACCGGGAACTCATAGCCCCGCTCGCGGCACCGGCACCGCCGGGAGCGGACCGGTGCGGTCAAAACAAGCGTGCGCCGGTCGGAACCCTACACCAACTACATCGACAGTAATCTATACAGCCACGACCACGACCACGGCCATGGCCTCGCCCGTCCCTCTCCCCCTTTCCTGCCGCATTCGTGCCGCGCCAATGACTTTTCAACCAGGCGATCGAATGGCGCCCCGCCCCGCCATATTCGGCTGCCACTAACGACACTAACGAGAACGTAGCTAGCAGTGGTTAGCACCCACTTATACTTAATTAAATCGAATTTGTTCGCGCCGAATTAACATCATCGATCGATCGGCGGCAAAAAGGTTTGATTTGATGAAGACCGCCGCAACAGTCCCCTAACTGACCTGGACGCATGGCAAGCCGCCGAGTAGAACGTGACCAACACCAACACCGCCAATGATCATGTTAGTATCTCCAGGCTGCAAACGTACAAAACGCGCCCCAAAAATCACATAGGTTACATCGTCCAGCGTCTACTGAAATTATAGTAAAGAGCCTATGACGACTGATTTGCAAGTCTAGCCAGATGCCTGTCTGTTGGCAGTGCGTGACAACGGACCCTGCACGTATTTTAGTGCACGGGAACGGGAGCCCAATGATTTGATTTGCCGCCAACGAACGGCTCGCTCTGGATCCGCACGTAACTTTGAAAACGATGGAGTCGGTATATATACGGTAGTATAGTTTTGCCAGTTGTGGTTGTTCGTGCCAGACATGACAAGCGTGTTCAAACGAGTACGTAATCCAATTGCTACTAACTCTTTGTTCTTATTTTGTTCAAAAAAGAACTCTTTGTTCCGCACTTTTGTCCAGTGAAAGGGGGGTTCCGTTTGTTTGATACTCCTTCTGTAAAGAAAATATGAGTGTTTAGATCACTAAAGTAGTGATTCAAATGCTCTTATATTCCTTCACGGAGGGAGTACTTCTTTTTAGATTTTCAGATGTTCCGTCTGATACTTTGAACGCGAGCCCAAGCAACACCAAATTCAGTCCCGCCAAAAGAAAAGTTTCCAAGTCAAGATTAAAAGCATATCCAACTGGCTTTTCACATGGAACCATGCTTTGCATTAAAACAACAAGGTTAGAAAGAACATGAATAGCGAAGAATGACAAGCCTTGATGCATGGGATGGTGTCTCAATGGAAATTCATTCAACGGCTATTACATCTTATATCTAGTGGTGAGTAAAGACTATTGTAGTTTTCAAAGCCTAGTATAACGAGGGCGTTGGCATGTGTCATTTCTTCTGGTTAAGTGCATGTGACATACAATCGAAAGAAAAAACAACCAATATAGTTTCCGATGTAATTTTATTTCTTGTTGGCCGTTTTGTGTCTTATGGTTTTCCATTCTACTACGTACTATTTTTCTTGATTATATCATGTTACATGATGCCCTTTGGGTCTCTTTTCTTAAATAAAAGAAGAATACAAACAACTCAATTTTACTTAAACTTAAGGGCTAGAAAATTAAAAAAATAGACCCTTGGAGACTGCTTCTCAAACTGCCAAAATGACCGCACGTGTATCGACAAGGCATTTCCATCTCGACGAATGCCAAACAAATGCATTGAGGAGCTCCACGCCGATCATCACCAACAAGATGAAGGCAACTATAGACAAATGGCCTCGAGGGGATTGAGAGGGCATCAAAAACCATCGACGTTATGAAAACATGTTCTTTGATAGGCTACAAACACCCCTTGAATGGGATGGTCGAGTGTCGAGGAAGAACCCATGTCAAAACATATTCATGATACTTTGAACACAAACCCAAACAACCGTCATTTTAAGCTAATGCAAAAGGGAACTCCAAAATTTTAAAATAGAAAGTATAAAGCTCTGCTATGTACTCAGAAAGTGAAATGAAAAACCCACAAATAAGAGCAATTCGAGTTACATAAAATAAGGGCCAAAAAGAAAGAAAAAAACATATGTGAAAGATAAAGAGCATCCCGGAGTAGGAAAATGATCGGAACCAATAGATAGCAAGAAGCATATATGTCCCATCCCATTTCTAAGTTGAGCGCTAGAAAAGAACAACTAGGTAAACAAATGCTTGGAGCACATGCAAAGGGTTTACTCTAAGCAATTGTAGAACGTTTTGGTAGTTCACAATTCAAGTCGAACTAAACACAACAATTTTTAGAATAGACCTTTTAAGGCTATGTTTCAGTTGGTTGTCACTTTCAAAGAAGAGAAGTGGTGGATTTCCAGCAAAATATGCACTGCAAATTGGGGTTATGAGGCCACAATGTGAGGCTAGAGGCCACCACCCACTTAGATATATCATGCTAAATTCGGCCACTAAATACCGCTGGACATCACTCCTTTTGTTGGGGATATAAAGGGAGGGAATTTTGGTGGTAGTTTGCTTTTAGAAAGAACGGAAGTGGAGAAAAGAGCACATATGTCTGATTCGCATACACACTGTCCAGTATCGATGGAGGTAATCTAGAATGCATAGTGAAAACGAATCGAAACATTTTTGTTTTTGCAGGAAACGAATAGAAGCATATGACCATTTTCATAGAAAAACAAATGCCTGTGTTATATACGGTACTCCCTCCGTAACTAAATATAAGACTTTTTGTAGTTCTTTGCCAAACCGTTTTATATTTAGTTACAGAGGGAGTATTAAAGGATTCAAAAAATGCATAAGAAAAAGAAAAAAGGAACCCAACAACAATCTGTGGATAAATAATAGCCATACTCATTCATATTCTTATGTTTTGTCAAAAGAAAAGCACATTTCTACGGACTAGTACTGGTCACTGCCCTTCAGGTTTTTTTTTTCCAGAGTACGCAAATTGCATACCGTATTTTTATAGAAAAGAGGAACAGTGATTTTTACAAGAGGTCCCTCGAGTTGCGAACAACCCAAGGCCATTACCCACTCACTCCAACATGAAACAAAGATCAACTCTCTCACAAAACGTTGTAGCCCTCCGGCCACTCTAAGTGCTAGGTTCCAATCCTTGATCTCTTCATCTTCTGGACAGAATCTAACTAAAGCATAGATGAGCGAACAAGCTTGACCGAAGGGCCATCTCCTTTTTCTTCTGATGCAAAACGACACACATTTGGAATCTTGCAAGCTCGACAAAAAACAAACTCCAAAAGTATTGCCAACAATTTCACGCTTTCATAATCTCTTCCATTCTATAATGTGTACACGTATATGATGACAGCACAATCATGCTCCACAAAGGGGCCGGGAGAAGACCGAGACCAAGAACATCGTCCATGGTCTCAAAACGAAGTTCGATTTTAAAAAACGAAAAGGAAAAAGGCGCCACCTCTCTTCTATGAACAAAGCGAGTAGAAATGGCGGCTAACGCCATGGATGGATGATGGATCCCTCCTCTACCCTTTGGTCCCCTGCGCCGCCATGCCGCCGCGGCCGTGGTGCCACGAGTGCCCGCCAAGCCCTCTGGCGAACCGCTGCAGCGGGCTCAGCCGCGCGCACCCGACGATGCCCTCCGCCGCCGCCGCCGCGCCGCTCTTGTCGCCGCCCTGCTTCTTGAGCTTGTCCATGCTGACGGCCCTCGCGTTGAACTTGGCCGTCGTCGGCGGCGGTGGTGCGTTTGCCTTCTTGAGGGGCGCGTCGGGCTGCTGCGCCGGCGGGCACTTGGGGAGCGGCTCCTTGTTGATCCGGCCGCCTTCCGACGAGCTCCGGAACAGGAGGAGGTCGCTGAGCCGCCACCTCCTCCACCCGGCGCTCCTGGAGGCTGGACGCGCGGCGAACGGGTCGGCTTTCTTGGGCGGCGAGCCTGACGCGACGGCGGTGGTGTTCTTGCCGCCGAGCGGGGAGGGCGAGGGGGCCTTGGTCGCCACCAGCAGCGCGGCTGCGAAGGGGTCGAAGTCCGTGCCGGAGCCGACCCTGCTCCGTCGCCGGGGCGACCTCAGGGCGCCTTTCGCGATCGGCGACCGCGGCGATGACCCGACGCTCCCGCCGTCGAGCAGGCCGGGCGGCGGCTTCAGCGGCCTGATCTTGCCCTCGTCGGAGGTCTTAAGCAGAGGCTTCAGCGGCCGGATTTTACCCTTCTCGAAGAGCTCGTCCGCGGTCGTCAGGCTCTCCGCCGGCGCGGTCTTGTCGACGACGGTGCCGAACTCGAAGTCCGTGTCCCACGCCGCCGCCCCGCCGCCCATCCCGGCCTTGGGCGTCCCGGGCCTCTCCTCCCAGTCGAACGGCACGGCCGAGGCGGTGGTGGAGTACGACGAGCGCGGATGGAACCCCTCGTCGTCGTCGTCGTCGTCCTCCTCCTCCTCCTCACCGCCGTCGCGGCTGCCGTGGTCCCCCTCGGCGAAGTGCGCGTAGATGGCCGCGGCGCGCCGGGGGCTGGCGGGCGCGCTGGTGAAGTGCTGGAAGAGGTCGAAGGGGTTGGCGCCGGCGAGGCGCGGCGTGACCGGCGGCAGGAGGTCGAACGGGTTCGGCGACGACGGCGCCGTCAGGAACGGGCTGCCCTTCGCCGCGGCCGCTCCCTCGACGGAGCCGAACGGCGTCGCGGGCTCCGCGAGGCGGCCGCGCGGGCTGGACGGCGCCGTGGCGTACGGGCTCGCGGCCGCGCTGTCGGGCCGGAGGTCCCGGTGCGGCGTCGGCGAGGCGGGACGCGTCATGACCTCCATTTTTTTGAGCTTGGCTTCTTGGGGACGGACGGAGAGCTCGTGGTGGCGATGGGCTTTTAAGAGTCGTGGAGATGGAGGGAAAGGGTGGGAAGCCGCGGCGAAGGAGGGAACAGGGGAGCTGAACGAACACTGATGGAGAAATGGAAGGCCCACTTTTAAATCTTCAACAAAAACAAATAAATATACTAACTGAGTTATTTATTTTTTGAGTGGAATATTCCGGATGCATTCTGTAGATGGTATTGTGTGAAAAAAATTATTAGATGTATTCAAATGGGCGAAATATCATTAGAGTATCACGAAAATATTTTAAGATCATGTAACTTCAAACCATTTTTACTACTATGTGTGTATAGAAACTAGCTATCAAAGTTGCATCTTGTTGACTCCGTGTACGTGTATAAAATATACAAAACTTTATTCTTTTTAGAGAGTAGGCTTTTCAGCCCTGCTTTACTAAAGCAAGAATCTCAATGGAATAGGATATGCGGTGCGAAAAAGATAATATAAAACAATGTTTATTTTGGAAGGGAGGTGAGAGTATTGACAAAGGCACTATGTATTTCTTTCATTTCAAAATAAGTTCTATGTTCAATCTAGAAAAATTCCGTGTTAAGTTTCGTTAGGAGAAGTTTTTGAACAATAATTATTATTTTTTGAAACGGAGACAAAAGATTTGCCTCATCCATTAAATAAGAGGAGAATAGAGTTTGACAAATTGCAAGTGATCCTACAAAAAAACCGCATGGCAATTACTCTCGTACAACAATACGCCCTAGTTTCTTAGCACCCGTTGTAACCCATAGGTTGGCCTCAAGCAAAATATTTTGAAGAAGAATAGGCGGTGGCGCACTCTTGTGGCGAAACACCCGGGCGTTTCTCTCATTCCAAAGAGTCCAAGGGACGAGCATGGTGAGGGAGGCCATCGCTCGTCTGTCTGGATTTCGCATGTCGGTTCTTCTATCCCACCAACGCATAAGAGAGTCCTCAAGGTGCCAATCGGAGGTGTCAATGTGCGCAAGACCAAACTTGTCAATGACTGATCGCCAGAGCCGAATGGAGAAGCGACACTTGACGAAAAGGTGGATGCCTGATTCTTGCTCCCTCTTGCAAAGTGGGCAAAGCCCACAATTTTCCCAACCACGCCGCTCCAACCGGTCCGCAGTCCAAATCCGGTCTTGCAAGGCCAGCCAAGCGAAGAATTTGACCTTAGGGAGAGCCCAAGCTTTCCAAACCATGTAGTGAATGGGCGAGTGCGTTGGGCCAAGAAATTGCGCCTTATAAGCAGTGGCCGCCGAGTATATCCCATCTACAGCATGTTTTCAAACAATGTCATCCTCAACCTGGTCGTCAAGGTGAACGCCATGCAGAAGTGTCCAGAGCGAGAAAAGCTCTCGGATGTGGGCGGCAGAGATAACCGTGTCATGCTTGATGTGAGTCATCCAAGCGTTCCCGCGTATGGCTTCTCGCAGCTTCCAGCTCTTTCTTTTCGCGGCTTGATAGATAAGCGGGGCAACATCCTTGGGCTTGCGACCAAGCAACCACGGGGCGTCCCAAAAAGGTGTTTTAGCACCATTTCCGACGATGATTGTGGTTGAGGCATAGAAGAAATTCAGGTCGTCCTCGGTGCAAGGGTTGCCCAATCCAAGCCAAAGTTTGTTAGGCTCCTTCCATTCGAACCAAAGCCACCTCAGCCGCAGAGCCCGAGCAAACTTTTCGGTGTTGAGGACCCCAAGGCCTCCATAATTTATGGGCCTGCAGACCACGTCCCAGTTGACCTTGCATTTTGCACCAGACGTCTTGTCTGAACCAGACCATAGGAAGGCCCTCTCCACCTTGTTGAGATTATGGAGTGTGCCCTGCGACACAATGAGAGGCGTTATGGAGAAGACCGCCTGAGAGGTGATGACCGATCTGACAAGGGCAATGCGTCCAATGGTTGTGATGGTTTGTCCTTCCCAAGTTACCAACTTCCCGGCCGCCTTGTCTTCGAGATATTGGAAGTCGACTTTACGGAGTTGCCTGACCGAGAGCGGGAGGCCTAAATATTTTATTGGGAACATGGCGCGGGTCGCTGGCACCACCGAGCTCTTGTGGAAGTTGGTGCAAAGGCCTGTCACCTTGCCGGAACCCCTTAGGATGGCAGAGAGGTTGTCAACGTCCCTCTTAATTGGGGCCATGAAGATGGCCGCGTCGTCCGCATAGAGGGAGGTTCTCATCATGGCACCTCGCCCGCGTATCTTTTGTAAGATGCCTTTTATGAGTTGCGGTGGCGAGGATTTGTTGAAGGGGGTCGATTGCAAGGACGAACAACAGCGGTGATATCGGGTCCCCTTGACGGAAACCGTGGCCATGCTTGATCGGGTGGCCCGGAAGCCCATTGAGGAGGATGCGCGAAGAGGACGATGAAAGCAGAGCGGCGATCCAATTCCGGAATTTGCAAGGGAACCCCTTGCGTTGTAAAAGGTCGAGGATGTATTCCCACTTGACCGAGTCAAATGCTTTTCTAATGTCTAGCTTGAAGAGGAGGGCAGAAGTCTTGCTTTTGTGCAACCAACGCGCGAAATTGCGAACATACATGAAGTTGTCGTGTATACTCCTCTTGTTTATGAAAGCACTTTGGGCGTTGGAGACGAGTGCGTCCATGTGGGGGGCAAGCCTCAAGGAAAGAATCTTGGCAATAATCTTGCCAATGGCATGCACGAGGCTAATTGGCCTATAATCGGAGACGCCTTCCGTCCCATTCTTCTTGGGCAACAACACCACATTGGCCGAGTTGAGCCATTGCAAGTGAGAAGTGTGGAGGGAGTCAAAACATTGGATGACACGCATGAGATCATGCTTGATGATATCCCAACACCGTTTGAAGAAGATGCCCGTGAAGCCGTCCGGACTGGGTGCCTTATCACCCGGCATAGCTTTTATGGCCGCCAAAACCTCATCCTCTATGATGGGGTCACCGAGATCATGCAAATCGTGGGGTTGAATGTTCAGCTCATCCCAATTGAAGTCAACGTTGCTTGTGCTACCTCTGCCCATGACCTCCGAGAAGTGGCTGTGGATTATCTCTTCTTTTTTCTCATGCTCAGTCACCCAACCATGTGCATCCTTGATCCTATGAATGTGATTCTTTCTTCTCTTGGCGTTGATACGACGGTGAATTTTTTGTGTGTTAGCATCTCCATTCTTGAGGTTTGCGATCCTAGCGCATTGGCTCTTTCTTGCCCTCTGTAGGACTGCCAGACTAATCACCCGTCTCTTAAGCCTAGACCGCAGGTCCATCTCCTCCGGGGATAGTAGTCGATCCTCTTGCGCAATGTCCAGTCGAAGAATGATCATGTTGGCTGCATGTAGCTGAACCTTAGCCTCGGAGAAGATAAGCTTGCTCCACTCGGCAAGGCGGAGCGCCGTTTTTTTGAGCTTATGATGAAGGACCTGGTACGGCTCAGAGTGACTGACCCTCTCGGTCCAAGCATTTTGGACGACCTCTTGAAATCCGGGCAAAGATACCCAGAAGTTCTTGAATTTGAAGGTATGCGGGCACCTTGGCCCCTTGTCGTCGGCGAGCAATAATGGGCAGTGATCGGAGAGGGAAGACGACAGGGCGTGTAGCAGGTGAGTGTTGTGAGTGGTGTCCCACTTGGCGTTGCAGAAGAAGGAATCAAGCTTGCACAAGGTGGGGTTTGCGCGTTCGTTGCTTCAAGTGAAGCGTCTGTTCTGCAGGTGGATTTCCTTGAGCTCACAAGACTGGTTACTCTGCTAGTAATGTGTAACTTTGTGATACAAAAATGTTGATGTTGTTAATTCGAAGACCGCGTCAAAGTTCTGCACTATCTATATTGTGAGTGAGAGGGGGTAATTGTTGATTCCAAGAAGAGATGAATATGCCAAATTCATGCCAATCGAGTGCGTGTTCTTGCGCGTGCTGACAAGATAAATGGAAGCCTGCTGACAGCGATCGGTCCTCGCGACGAATAAGAAATCGTAATCGTTTCGGTAATGTGATTTGGATGGAACGATCCATGCTCTTCCAAAAGGCATCATGGATGATGACACGCATGCCGGGAAATAAACTAGGATCCGCAAGGAAACAGATGGCCACCGTCTCAATTGATTCTCATCGAAGGTGCTCGTACACGGTACACAGATGGCTCCTGCAGATTTCACGCGGCTACTGATCACGCCGACGCATGCTCGATCTCACACGTTATTGGCATCAGGTTCATGTAATCTTGGAGTCTGGATGCTGATCTCGGTGACATGTTGCGTCTGCTTTGGTGTTGTTCGTTGAAACGGCAGGTGTGGAGGTCAACCGTATGGCTTCTGAGCTCGGGCCAGAGAGAGAACCTCTCTCTGACCCCGCAAAAAAGAGAAAAAGAAAAAAAGAGAGAGAACCTCTCTCTGAGAGAACCAGACCACGAAATTCAGAGGCAGTGTTTGGATTGTTGACATATGAAGATTGAAGAATTCCGAGCTTATCACTTTGTTAATAGAAAGTCCACCTGGTGTGGCAGCGTAATATTTTCATTCCCCACTTCACCGGAATCTCGCGCCCTTTCGGTCATCCTCATCCACCTTATTTTATTTATTTATTTATTGATGTGCACAAAACATTCCCCCGGACACGGATCCAAGCCATCTTAGTTAAGTCTCAGCATCTGCATGCTTTCATAGAGAAATTTAGTAAAAAGAAATAGTTCTGAACTTCTCCGATGCTTTTTTCGGTGCTGGCTTAAGCCTGAAGATGCTGCATGACCATTTGCACAATGTTAGGGCCAGTTGCAGACTGGTTAAGCGACTGATTGATCATTTGAAGCTTTCTTAGAGGAATAGGCTCTTCTGGCCCTCGACTACAAGGCAATGGGTTTCAGGACTTGAAACGAATACTACTCCCGGATATACTTTTTGAATTGGAAGGCCATACTGCCGAATATATTCGCACGAAAAAGAATGGTCTTATGCCAATTGTCCAGAATTTAGCAAGTTGCAGCCTGACTAAA